TTTGCCAGCTGCCCAACACTGATCTATGTGTGCTGGTGCTGCAGCATGAGTGTGAGCTTGGACTGTGTGAGCTAGGAAATCCCCCTGCTGATGTCAGTACTGACATTAGCAGCGGGAATCCCTCAGAGGTTGGATCAGGGGGTGGGATTATAGGTAATATAATGAGTTGGATTATAGATAGGAAAATGGTTGAATTATGGGTAGGATTACATGTTGAATACGGGGCATGTAAACAAATGGGGTATCATTTTACTTAAGAACAGTCACAGAATATAAACATGGGGTATTTGCTGTAGTGGGACACACTGTGAAAGACTGCCTCGTACCCCAGCTGGGTACCCCGGTCAAGCTCGTTCTCTAGCTCTCCACCGGGACACCTGTAGTGCTTAAGCCACTCTCCGTTCCTTCCCGCCCTGGAACAGATTCAAGTGATTAAGCTCTCCTGCAAAGTATAGCTGGTCCCCCATACACTAGTCAAGACTGAGTGAAGGGTGAAAAGGAACTCTCTTATTCAGGCCAAGTTGCCTGTTTATATATATGAACCCCAGCATGGTGTCTTTATTCAATATTCAATACAATACAAGCCCCTCGCAGAGATCTCTGTGCCTGGGAGATAAATGAGTTAAGACCGGTAAGCCAATTATCTTACAGGAGCAGAGAGCCAAACACAAAAATATAAAAACATAAAAGTACCCCGAACATAATAAAAACATACAGTAATCCCACATGTCCTATATCCCCTGATCTGAGCATCCAAGTTGTCCAAATAGTGGTCAGATCCATGCAGTGTAGGGGAATCGCCACCGGGCAAAGTTCTGACCCGCTGTACATGTGATCCTAGCCCAAAATTGTTCAAAAGAATTTGGTGATTTTGCTGGTCAACTTTCGGGAGTTCCTGCGTACAAAATACGGAGTGCTCTGTCTGTCTCTCTGGGAGTGTTTGTTCCCTTAGTCTCAGGCACCTTCACTCTAAAATGTGCCTGCAAAGTGGTAATAAGTTGCCCGGAAAACCGCAACAGTTCCATAGCGGTCACGGCTAAGTACCACCGAGGACCGTTTGTGGGTTTGTTCATGCGAACGGCAACCAGGGAGCTAGCATTCAGTTCAATTCGTGAGAGAGGAAAAGTGATGAACCAGGGGCACCAAGGAAAGCTGCTAAGGGCAGCTGGGCATGGTAACTCCAGATTGGGGTCTCTGACCTGGACTATAGTCGGTGGGCAGGAGGCCAGCTTCCACACTCCTCCAGGAGTTCATGGCAAACGTTCATGGTAAAGAGCATTTGCTACATATCTTCTCCAGGGAGACTAACCAAATGATCATTTGTCCAGAGGGCCCCCTACCTCAAGGTCCCATTTGTAAATCCAGTGTCCTGCTGGAAGGAAAACTACTGCACTCCACTCCTGGTGAACCAAGTCGTCGCTGGGGATAGAGGATGTAATTCTCCTCTCTAGGGGACAACTCCTGCCACTGTGGAGTGAGACTTGGTCTCCCCTTCCTAGATTGCACACTGCCACTGGAGAATGAGACTGTCTGTCTTCACTCCCAATAACTCTCTCTGCTGCTGGGGAGGGAGGATGATACGCTCCTCTCCCTGGAACACACTCTACCGCTGGGGAGTGCGATGTTATCACACAAAAGGAAGAAGCTTATTGGTCAAGATTCCTGTCCTCATTGACGTAATTTGCCCTCTCTTGTTTTGCCACTTTTCAGAAATCTGAATCACTTCAGCGCTTCTGAAATGCCGAACTTCGACACTTTGGGACTTCGGACATTCATAAGCATCCAAATGTCCGAATGGCATGAAATTCGTACGAATGTACATTTGGAACGAAACAAATCGCACGTCTTCTCCTCAGGACTGCCACAGTCATCATCTTCCTCAAAAGTCTTCCACAACAGGCCAGGGCCATTGCAGTCCTCACCCTCTGGCTGAACGTTCGCCACCATCCAAGGGTCTCGCTGGACTGCGTACCACCATTGCACCTGGTACGAGTCATCCAGCATCAGTTCCCTCTCGACCAGAGACTAGAGGTGCATTACCCACTCCGTCAGGGGCTGCTCACCCAGTAGCACCATTCACTGTGTCCATAGCGGTCGCGGCTAAGTACCGCTGAAGACCATTCGTGAGCTGATTCATGCGAATGGCCGCCAGGGAGCTAGCATTAGGTTCAATTCATGAGAAGGGAAAGGGCCGAACCAGGGGCACAGAGGGAAAGCTGCTTAGGGTGGATGGGCAGGATAACCCGCAAATGGGTCTGTGACCTGAACCATAGTCAGTGGGCAGGAGGCCAGCTTCCACACTCCTCCAGTAGTTTTTGAAGTTGAAAAGAGCGTTTGTCACACACTCGTATTCTGTGAATCTCCCCAAAATACAACACAAAAAAAAGGTACAAATTTGGCCTTGATTTGTGATAAAATGGCTACATGAAACGTGTAGGAACCATATTTTGATACTGTGACATAGTGGTGGGCTTAACACAACATGACCGTAACTTAATCACCATATTTTTTTTGTAAACATAGGTGATTTAAAGTAGCCTTGTAAAATCAAAAACTGTACTTTTTTTTGTGTGTGTGCGCTGTTCCTTAAACTGTATTTTGCATAGATTTTGGTCTTTGTCAGCACTAATTCTTAGAAATGCATGTTTGGATATGCCTCTTATTACCATGTTTTTCTGTTTGTAGTTGTAATCCAGACGGGATTACTACTAGGCTGAGCACCCCACCCATCCACTATGGGTGCCCCTTTGGAGGTGACCACAGGAAAGCATAAATTGAAGAATGCGTGAAACCAGTTGAAGCTGTAAGTATTGCAAGTTAGCATGAAAATCTCCCATGTTAAACTTAGTGTAATAACCACCGATATTGGGGTACAGTGACATAGTGGTGTTAACACAATATTGCCATATGGTGTAATTGAATCCACATATTTGTTTGCAAAAATAGGGGATTTTAAATAGTCTTTAAATTTAATTTAAAACTGTATTTTTTTTTTTCTGTGTGTGTTGTTTCTTTAACTGCATTTTAAATGGAAAGTGTCACAATGCTCCTATTTACATAGCTCTGGAATGTACTTTCTACAAATACATGCTTTTTGAAATCTGCGACTACAATTAAAATTGTAATCTCAGCATGACAAATTTTGCTAAATTTTAGATTTAAAACCTTAATTCACTTCTTGCAATATATGTTTAATAACTTCTACAATGGAATTACAATTCTAGCTATATTGGGCATTTTAACAATCTGAACTAATTAGTGAATCTATCTTGAGGTAGTTTTTTTTTACACTTGTTCTTCCTATTTAATATTCATTATGTATACATATATGGTATAAATAAAACAATATTTCTACTTTAAAAAGTGATATATAATATGTATGGGTGCCCTTAAACAAAAAGGGGGAAATTGTAGCAGAATGAACGAATGACAAAAGTGCCAAAAAGGCATCCACATCTCCAAAAAGCTTTGGCCCTTAAGGGGTTAAGTGCTGTAAAACTTGCTCGGTCGTAGCACAGTTAGTTACAATTTCCCTGACTAGGCATATTGCTGGTCCTCAATGCACTGTTTTTTATGATGCAAGCGAACTGTCCTGAAGAGTTAAGTTAAAATGCAATTTATTCTGAATTATTCTTTTCTTTATTTCCTAACACAGCAGTTATATAGTTCGAACATGTTTCACTCCAGTTCTCCGGCTGATTATTCACAGTGAGATATCAGTATCTCCTGCTTGTCAGGTCAGGACAGTAGCATTATTTGTGAAATAATAAGCTTCACACCTTGCTAGAGGAAACATGGCTAATAATATATAACCATTGGTCACAGATGTTTAGGTTTTGGTAATTTACCCAAAATGTATCCATAAAGGGAGATTAATGTTATCTTAGGTAGAATACTCTATATATGTGCAGTATCAGAAATACAGATTCATTACTGTGGTACATATCTTTATAAAATGTACCTAGGATATGTATTTACATTGCATTTCTTTTGTGGTATTAGTATTAAAGGGACACTATAGTCACCAGAACAGCTACTTCCCTTTTGGCATTTTCATGTAAGCACTGCCTTTTCAGAGAAAATACAGTGCTTACATTGTCCCCTAGGGGCATCTCCAGTGGCCACTCCCTAGATGGCCACTAGAGGTGCTTCCTGGGGTAGTATTGCACAGTGTGCGGCACTGTCAATCAGCGTCTGCATGGAGACGCTGAACTTTCTTCATAGAGATGCAGTGATTCTGTGCCGCCTCTCTTCCGATTTGAGTCCTAGGGAAAGCATTGGATTAGCTGAAATAATAAATTATGATGATAACAGCAAAAGGAGGCGGATCGGGATGGAGCCATCATCAACGGACCCATGCGGAAATAAGGTACGTTTTTATTACTGTGATGGAACTTATAGCACCGCGACTGAGTACCTCTGTCAATCGCTGCTTCCTAGTAATCCTGGTGTAATGATATTGATGTTACAAAGTTTTGGAGTCCAGTAGCCAGATCAGCAATGTTTTCTGCCAGAGGTAGCCACTCGTTACCCAGGTGGTTGAGCCCCTGAGCCTTGAGTGGCCTTCTGGTCTTAAGCAGAGATGGGAGACTGGAACAGAAAGATGATAATCGTAGTGAGGCAAGCCGAGGTCAGTGGGAAGGAGAAGCAGCAAAGTCAAAACAGTCCAAATTCAGCAACAGGAAGTAGAAACAGGAACACGCTTGATTAGAGAGTACAGGAACCACAATAATCTGGCAAAGGTACAGAGACAGGAAGTTGCTTTTATAGGCCAAGAACCAGACACCTGACCAGACACAGCTGAAGAGAGTTGTCACTGATAACCTTGACTCTACAAGCAATGGTATCAGATCTCAGGTAAATTTGCAAAAGGCAGGCTGGTGTACTGGTAAGGAAGAGGTTTAGCACCATGTAAACCAGGGTTCGAAACCCAGCAGAGTCAGTTCCTCACACCTGGAGTACCATAAGAACCACACCGGACACCATAACCACCATAAACCCCACAAACCACCGCAGCTTGGTTGGGGTCTTGCTGTCCTCCACCCACCCTGGCTCCAAGACCAGGATCCAGCTTCCAGTGGATAGACCTCTCCAAGTCCAGAGAGCAAAGCAGGTTGCTCTTACAAGAGCAAGTGTTGTACTCCAAGGGAGTATAGTGATTATAGCAAACCCCAGAGTGAATATAGCTCTCCAATCCCCCAAACATGAGCCTTGACTTCTGTTTAATCGCAGCCACAACTGGCCTTATATGCAGGTTCCCATGCAAGGGGCACGCCCACCTGGACCTTGTGGACCTGAAGTGCAGCACCAAGTCACAGACCAATAACAACAATGGTTATGTGCATGACATTCCTATATACAAACACACAATCCTTCCCCTCTGCCTTGGAGATAATTGAATCAGGAACTGTACTAATCTAATTCAATTATCTCCAAGCACAGAAAAAACATACTTTTTAAAAAAAAATCAAAAGTACCTGTTTAAAAAAAAAAAAAAAAAAAAACCCCACATACATCCCCTGATAGCCCTGATCTGGGTGACGAACATATCCAAAAAGCACCCAGATCAGTTCAGGGGTTCAGGAATTTCCTGGAAGTCTTATTTTTGACCTACTGTGCACATGGTCCCATGCCTAAAACAGTTCCAGAGAATTGTACTCTCTGTCTGGAGTACAAAAGTACATATTTCACGCTGCCTGCTGGAGGGCGTGAGAGACGTGATGACATGAGACGTCGCACGTGTTACAGGTGGACGTGCCCGGAAGGAGGGTGAGGAGAAAGGACGCGGAGGCGAGCTAGTTATGCCGCTCCGTGAACATTGTCTGGCTGGGAAAGATTGAAGTGAATGAAGTGGAGTGAAGACTCAGTGAGGACTCAGTGGGGTCGGTGAATCTGGTTTGAAGCAACACGGTGCATGCCAGTGTATGTTGTTGCTGAGGGTTTGTTGCCTTCATTTGGAGAGACAGCAGCGGTTCCCTTATGAACTATTAAAAAGACGAAGAAAAGAAAGAAAGAATTAGGGAGAAACAACAACAGTTCCCTTATAAACCATTAAAAAAAACGAAGAAAAGAAAGAAAGAATAAGGGAGAAATAAAAAGAAAAGGAAAAAATATATCCCTCAGCAATTTTCTAAATAGCTTTATATAAAAACCGTGAGTACTTCTGTATATACTGCAACATTACTGCAAGGCATTATATTTGTATATAATTATTGGCTTGGAAAAAAAAAAAAGCAGAAAGAAAATACTTATTTTTTTTTGGAGGAGACTGGTATATTTGACTGATTTAATTGAATTAATTATTCGATCAATTGATTTAATCATTCAAGATTAAAGCTATATATGAGATATCTAGCTAAAATCTGCTATTGAGAAGCACTTAAGAAACAAAAATGTCAACTAGGAAAACAACAGAAAAGAAGAAAGAAATTAAATCAGTTCAGCAAACAGAAAAGAGGTTGTCAGGTTTTTTTACAACCCCCATTAAAGATGTGCAGGAACAGATAATTGATGGTAAGACACACCCAACTAATACCTCCAATATTAATCAAGAAGTTCCACTTAACCAATTTTCATCAGAAACCCAAGCAATTGCTTTAATTAGCATACAAGACCAACTTAAGCAAGTGTTGGAATTACAATTAAATATATTGAAACAAGATATGCTTGCAAGTTTTAATGATATAAAACAAGAGATTAAAAATGTTGCAGTATCAGTGGTGGAAGTGGAAAAAAAATGTGAAGTGTTTGGAACTCAAATTAAAGCAATTAACACGGAAGTGCAGTTTCTAGCAAATAAAGCTGACAATCTTGAAAATAAAATAGCAGCTTTAGAAGATAGATCAAGAAAAAGAAACATAAGAATAAGAGGGGTTCCTGAAGAAATTTCCAATGAAAAATTAAGAGAATATTTAAATAATTTATTCAAAGAAGTTTCACCAGAAATATCTACAGATGAATATCAAATAGAAAATTTCCACCAAATATATAAACCGAATACAACAGCTTCACATCTTCCAAGAGATGTAATAGTGAGTTTTTCTTCACTACCAATGAGAAATAATTTAATGAAAGCCAGCCGTATTAAACCCCAAATAAATTCTATTTACAAAGATATAATTTTTTTGCAAGATTTATCCTATCATACCAGGACTTGGAGGAAATCTTTCTCTATCGTGACAAACTTTTTAAGAAAAGAAGAGATCAGATTTCAATGGGGTTATCCAACATCTTTAAGGTTCACTTGGAAACAAGAAAAAAAAAAATTGGGGGGATGCAAACGATGCAAATAGTTGGCTAACAAGTATTAATAAGAAAGCTTGAAAAGTCTGTTGCGATGGAAGAGAGGAAGAGAAAGGAAGAGAGGAGAGGAAGAAGGAAGAAGAGAGAAGAGAAAGGGGAGGAAAAAAAGGGGAAAAAAAATAATTTTATTTTTTTTTTTGTATAATTTTATAATTTACAATGTCTCCACTTATATGGAATTAATTAGTTGTGTAATGTATAACTTACAAATTTTTCAATTTAATTAATAATTGTTTCCACTTAAAGGGTATTAACTATGTATAATAGAAATAACTGAATTTATTTTATTTTTTTCACAAAAGCAAACACGTTTAAGCATTAACATTAATGAGATTCAAATTCAATAAGGTGGTTAAAAGTAAACTATTCACATATATTAGTAAGGTTTCTTAGTAATAGATAAAAGATTAAATATACTTGTAATTAAACACCATAGGAAATAATAATAGAAATTGTCAATAAATAGATTATTAGTAGTTGTGTTAAGAAGAAATAGATTCACTTAAATTAAAGAATTAAAGGGAAATGGAGTTAAGAATAAAAGAAGGGAAAAGGAAATGTTTTTTTTTTTTTTTCTCCCCCTTGGGGTAAAATTGTAAACTTGTAAATATTACTACTCTTTTTGGACATACCCACTTAGTGTCTAATTTAAAGACACAGTAAAGACTGAATTTCTAAATGAAAATTTACAGTCTTTGTGTTAAAAAAGGAGGATTTCCTCCAATGATTTTAAATTTATGTTTTGCGTGTTTGTATGTATATGTTTATGCAGCAATAGGGAAGGATAATGATTATCGAGTGGAAAGGGATGAAGAGAAGTTTTTGAAGATAACATGATAAAAATGCTTACACTCAATGTTCAGGGATTGAATACTATAGCAAAAAGAAATTTACTGTATAAATATCTCAGTGAAAAACAATTGAATTTAATATTTTTACAAGAAACCCATTGGAGGCATGTGGACAAACAGAATTGGGGGGGCAAAAGATTTCCACTTATAATTCAAGCCTCTAACAAGGAAAAAAAAAATGTGGAGTAGCTGTAGTATTTGGAGAAAAGATCAAAGTTGAAATTATTCACCAGATACAAGATATTAAAAGTAGATATTTAATAATAATATGCAAAATTGATTCCATACTTTTTACATTATGTAATATATATCTCCCTAATCATTCACCAGTTGCCTATTTAAAAACAATTTTGGAAAAAGTAGATGAAATTAAAGTGGGAAAGTTAATATTAGCAGGGGATTTTAATGCAGTACTGGATCCTCAGATAGATAAAAAATTAATGAAAGGAAATACTCTAAACCAAATGGTGATAAAACAAGCAAAAGCTTTAAAAAAAATTAAAGATGAATATAATTTATTTGATATCTGGAGAATTTATAATCCCAATGAGAGAGATTATACGCATTTCTCTAAAGTGCATTTTTCCTATTCAAGATTGGACATGATTTGGGTAGATCCAAGTATTATTGATATGGCCAACAAAACAAAGATTGATGAGATAGTTTGGACAGATCACAATGGAGTTTTCTGTGAAATTGTTTTTTGTACATTTAAAAGAGAAGCCTATACTTGGCGGTTAAGAGATAATTTGCTTTGCTGTGAATTAAAAAAAACTTACATAGGAAATAATATAAAAAATTACTTTAAAGAAAATACTTCAGAAAATATTGATCCATCTATTTTGTGGTGTGCCTTTAAGGCTGTTATAAGAGGTCACATTATCAAGCTACAAAGTCAGCTTGATAAAAATAATACTTTGGCATATTTACATACAGAATTAAGAAATATGACTTATATTAATAAACAATCTCCATCTTCCGAAATTTATGGAAAAATATTAGAACTTAAAGAAAATATAAAGCAAAAATTTATAGATACGATAGCTAAAAATATGGATAGACTAAAACTTAAATATTATTCTAAAGGTAATCGAGCCGAAAAGATGCTATCTCAAAAACTTAGAAAACAAAAAGGACAAAATAAAGTAGATAAAATAATACAGAATGGAAAAATAGCAACAACCCCTAGAGAGATTGGAAAATGTTTTAATGAATATTACGGCAATTTATATAATATATCTCAAATTAGTACAGATGAGGATATTAAAAATTATTTAACTAGTATAAAGAAGTTTCAATTAACATCTATTGAAAATGAATTTTTGAATAAACCTATAACTATGGAGGAGATTATGAAAGCTATAAATGACTTAGAAAGATCTAAAACACCAGGCCCAGATGGGTTTAGCAACCTATTTTATAAAACATTTAAAGATCTATTATGTCCATATTTGACCTCTGCTTTTAATACAGCTGCAAACAGAGGATTTTTACCAGCAGAGATGCTTAAAGCTAATATCTTGCCCATTTTAAAAAATGACAAAAATTCCACTGACATCAAAAATTACCGTCCAATATCTTTAATAGATGTAGACACTAAGCTATATGCTTCGGTTTTGGCTGCCAGAATAAAAAAAACTTCTTCCATTAATTATCCATAAAGATCAAATAGGATATGTTCCAGGCAGAAATTCCTACACAAGTATAAGGAAAATGATTAACATCTTGGACGATGCAAATAGAAATGATGTTCCAGTTCTGACTCTGTCGATTGATGCTGAAAAAGCATTCGACAGAGTCAGCTGGAAATACTTAGACCACACTATGGACTGGAAGGTTGGATTAAGAAAGCTATAATGGCCTTATATGTAAACCCAGTTTCTCGGACTATTGGACCTAATATTGTTGCCCCATGGTTCCAACTTAGAAACGGTACTCGGCAGGGTTGCCCCCTTTCACCATTACTTTACTTGCTGACTATCGAACCATTGGCTGAAAACATTAGAAATAATAAGGAGATTAATGGATATAAAATAATGGATGAGGATCAAAAAATTAGTTTATA